CAGGATGGCCATCCTGTTCTGATTGTAGTATCATTGTACCTTTTTCTCTCTTTCTTTTCTTTTCTTTTCTTTTCTTTTCTTTTCTTTTCTTTTCTATTCTTTTCTTTTCTTTTCTTTTCTTTTCTTTTCTTTTGTACCTCTGTCTCGCAGATTGTTCTCTCCGATTGTTTTATTCTTTTTTTTCTTCGGGAGGCGAATTGTTTGTGTGTAGCGAACTGTTTGACTGGTTTGGTTTCGTGTGTAGCAAAGTCGGAATTCGCACTTGAGATGGTTTGTTTGCGTGTAGCTAACTTTTTGACTTGCTGTTGATGTGACAAAAATAGTGGATAATTGGTTTATGTGTTCTGTTTCAGTGAGAAGAAAAAAAACTTGTTTTGGATGTCGCACTAAGTGTCCACAAAAAAAAAAAAACGGAAAAAAGAAAAAGAGAGCGTCCAGCAACTGCATGTCCAACCAGCGCAGCACACATGAGAAGTTGTCATGTAACGGCAGTGAAAACTCAGGGCATACTTTTCACACTAGGACATTTTTCATTGAATCTGGCCGTATCTACCGTCAGATACAAACAGGAAAACTTGAGTGTGAAAACTCAATACTTGAATACTGTGAATATTCCCCTATGACTCGAATGAAGGCAATCAATGTTGTTGATCATTTTGGACTTTGCATGTGCCTGAGAAAATTTAGCGCCTGAACCTGATTCCTAAATCGCATCGCTCAGGTCCACAAAAAAAAAAAAAAAGAACTCCAAAAAATCTGGAAAATTTTTCAAAAAAGTTGGAAAAACTATGTATCGTCAAACAGAGAAAAAAGTATTTATGTTGTGCAGCATCTCAAGACAAGCACCGTCCACCCGAGCACCATCCTGATTCTTATTAAAATTTTGGGGAAAAAATACAAAACGGAAAACCTGGGTAGCACCACATATGTGTACGCGGTGCATACGCGTATGTGTCCGAAAACCCGGATACGTTTTTTTTTTTTTTGTTTTATATATACATTGCATGGCTACGATCCGGACGTCCGGACCGCCGTCCAGACGGTCTGGATTCAGTCCGGACTCCAGACGTCCGGTCTGGAAGGTCCGGGCCCGTCTATGCTTTTTTGGGGGGTCCGCACATGCTCTCTCTCTCTATAATAATTTATTAGACAACCCCAATTTTTTAATTATTAAAAAGTCATTACCGTTTATTGGTTTTTAAAGTCTTTTTATAGTTTTTGACTTGAAGTTGTAACTCAAGTTTGGTTAGGAATTCTGACATGAGTCTGAGGCAAAAGTGGTTTGCATTGTTAGTCTGCATAGCATACATTTTTTCTGATTTTTTATTTTATTTTTTTTAATTGTCCGGACATTTCCGGACCTGTCCAGACATCCGGACCGTCCGGATCCCCCCATGTCCGGAGGTCCGGAAACGTCTGGAAACTACCGCACACGGGTCCGGTTCCATGTCCGGAAATGTCCAGGTCCGGGTCCGGGTCTGGCGTAGCCATGATACATTGTATAGTATATATAATGTATATATGTATAGGCTTTATATTCTCTGATACAGTGACTACACTGTCACTACAGTCATATGTATCGGTAAATAGAACTGCCCGGTAAACCGCAGGCAGAGAGGGAGAAGAGGACAACAAACAACTCGGAGGGGCTGTGACAAACTGTTTCGTCGGAGTTTCACCGACTCGTCAGGAGGCTGTATATGCGGCAATGCACTAACGTAAGACTGACTGACAGACAGACTTGACAGACTTGCAGAGAGACTGACGTGACACAGAGTGACAGCCAGGAGGAAGAGGAGGAGGAGGAAGAAGATCGCAATGGGAGGAGGAGGAGGAGGAGGAAGAAGATCACGATGGGAGGAGGAGGAGCGAGGAAGAAGATCGCGATTGAGGAGGAGGAGGAGGAGGACGATGAGGAGGAGGAGAAAGAGAGGCTGTGGGAGCAGGACGAGGAAGAAGATCGACTGGACGAGGAGGAGGAGGAGGAGGAGGAAGATCGTGATGGGAGGAGGAGGAGGAGGTGGAGGAAGATTGTGATGGGAGGAGGAGGAGAAACATCGGCTGTGGGAGCAGGAGGAGGAAGAAGATCGGCTGGAGGAGGAGGAGGAGGAGGAGGAGGAGGAGGAGGAGGAGAAACATCGGCTGTGGGAGCAGGAGGAGGAGGGAGGAAGAAGATGGTGATGTAGTAGTAGTAGGAGGAGGAGGATAAAGATCGGCTGTGGGAGCAGGAGGAGGAAGAAGATCGGCTGGAGGTGGAGGAGGAGGAGGAAGAAGATCGGCTGGAGGTGGAGGAGGAGGAGGAAAAGGAGGAGCCATGAAGTGTTGAGGACTCACCTTCACGGCGATGACGACGACAACGGGCAACGGGCGTTGTCCTCCTCCACTGATAGCACACGCGACAAACGATGGTGAACGCGACTACACACGCAATGGGCGATGGCGATGGCGCCGATGGACGATGACGACGACGACTTGGGCGCTGATGGTGCACCCTCCCACTGGACCTCTTCCTCGCATTACCCCAAGCCCTGAACTCTGAAATCACGGGGGGACGGTGCACACCCCGAACGGACTCCTTCCTCCCATTACTCCCCCAACCACCCCCAGTCTCTCGAAGTCCGCCCCACTTGGTAGCAGGGCCAAAAACGGGCCCAGAAATGGCCCGCGACGACCACGTACACAGGCCCCATTTCTGAGCACGTGCGTACTCGTCCGCGGTACGAACGCACGTGCGTGCATACACGTATGCACATCCGCAACCCAGCGAAAAAACAAACAACGCGGGTGCTTTCTTTTTCTCCCCATTGTTTGTTTTTCGTTGGTTTTACTTTTTCATTTTTTTCCCTAAATTTGAATAAGAAATTTGGGATGGCGCGCGGGTGAACGTTGCTTGTATTGAGATGCTGCACAACATATAGTTTTTTTTTTATTTTTTTTTTGGAGGTTTTTCTTTTTTTCCAACTCCGCAAAAGCGGAATGGTTTACGTCATCGATTTGATTTGGCATACTGATAGATATCTTCCAAAGTTTTTGAATAACTATTTTTTCTGTTGATGCTTGTTCTCCTAAGAGCATACTCACACTAGGCCCACAAAAACGCAAAATCACAAAATGAGCGGCCAGATCGAGTCCTTGTAAAGGAAGGACTAGATCTGGCCGCTCATGTTGGGATTTTGCGATTTCGAGGGGCCCGGCCTACCGGTAGTACGAGGGTGCACTAAACTTCTATCGTTCACCGGAAAACTTGAAGTTGGCGGAAACATGGTTTCTTAGTGATGTTGTGGTGACATAGAAATCAAAGGTCTCTTAACTGTGTTTTGCGGAAAGTAGTTTTTGAAATAAGGGCTGCACAATTGTGCAAAATGATGGGACATTTGTCTTGGTCCCGTTTTCCCGAAGTGCTTGTTTATGGTTCTGAGATGGGGCTACAAGTGGGCCGCTATATTTATTTCGGAACTTTGCCCAGGTGGGCCCAATGAGCGCCCAGGTGGGTTCAATCCCTCCAAACTACCTTCAGGCTAGATCCATTATGTTCCTAATGGGACGCTGGGCCCGGTTCCCAGCACGTGCGGCTTCCCGCAAGTAGATTGGAGCATTGTCCACTGCAAGCTTGGCGCTTGCGGTGGCAAGCTTCGCACTTGCAGTGGAAAGCGTCCACCGACCCAGATCGTAGCCAGCGGGAATGGGGAAGAGCCTGGAAAGGGACTCCACTCCACCGCCACAGCAGATTTGGCACCTCCACAGGTTTAGGTTACCAGATGAGGAAGACTTGTTGCCCTTTCATACCATCCAATCCCTGTGCCTCCGTTCGGATAGGGATGGTTGAGTCTAGAGGGTAGCCCGGCTGACGCATGGACCCCGCACACTGGCGAAAACCCTATTCGACACCCGCAAGTGTGTTGTTCGAGACTCCACTGGTGGCCGTAAAAAAAGCAAGCATTTTCATTTCTCCTCTTCCCACCTGCGCCTTTTCAGGACAACATCCAATATCTGTGCCTCCTTTCCGCAAGGGATGGCTGAATCTGGAGGGTAGACTGGGGGCAATCGGATGCAATCCTCTAGATTCAGCCATCCCGTGCGGAAAGGAAGGAGGCACAGGGATTGGATGTTGTGCTGAAAACGAGGAAGGGCAAGTCTTCCTCATCCGGTACCCTAAACCTGCGGAGGTGCCAATATTTGCTGTGGCAGTGGAGTCCCTTTTCCCTTGCCCATTCCCGTCGGTTACGATTTGTGCTGGCGGATGCTGTCCATGGGCCAAGCTACCGCGGTGGGGTCCAACCCCTGGGGGCTAGCCTCTAGATTCCGCCATCCTGTGCGGAAAGGAGGCACGGGAATTGGTTGGTGTGCTGAAAAAGCGGAGGTAGGCGGAGTAGAACAAAAACGCGTTGCTTTGTTCTCCCAAACACGCAGAAGATTATCATGGCATTACCATGGCCCCTGCGCAAGGATGACACACATAAAAAAAATGCTTGCTTTTGCTTTCACCAGTGAAGTCTCGGAAAATCTTGTCGGCTTGTCTGTGGGCATCCAGGCCATAGTCCCCGTTCCGGGGTCCCGCTAGCAAAGAGTATCGGACCACCGGTACCTTTCCCCAGTTGGAAATCAATTCCTTCATGCGGAAGCCACAAGCGGAATGGGCGGCCGCCGGTGATAAATTTCATTGGTGGGCCCTTTGGGGGGGGTGTTTTTCTGCCCGTGGCCGATATATGGGAAAGGTACTGGTGGTTTGAGCTCCATAATCTGTGATGCGTTGTTTACCCCGAGATACACAAATGCTGTTCAATCTCGATTTTCTGCACGTCACCACAAAAACGTGCAGGTTCAGGCATTCAGCCCAATCCTCTTTGCTAGTGGACCTCGCCCTTGGGGTCGGTATGCTCGATGATGATACCTGTAAGGGTCTGATCCCACCACTACACTACAGACCAGGTACAGTGTAGTTTTAAAATCCCCCGACTTTCCGACGTTGTAGTAGTTATAGTAGTCCTAGCTGTACGTTACTTCTGGACGGCCTGTATGGTTGCACCTCGGGGTGATGTAAGGTGACTGGATAATCCTGAAACCTTATGTTGAGGAAGATTCCTGGGGTATGCCAGGAGTGGAATGGATGATGGAGTTGGCACTGGCGGATAGGTACGGGTTACAGGAGGAGTTGACTACAATCGAAAGTGGAGCCTTGGCATTTTTCTGAAGTATTGGTCAGGCATCACAGAGAGCTAGGATTAAATGCTCATTTCTGGCGCCCGACTCTGGGTGAAGAGGCTCAAGCCTGGTCTTTATCTGCATTTCTTCATATTGCAAAAGGGATGCTGGACCTGTTTTCCAGCAGGTGCAGCTCCCCACCAATAGATGGAGTGACCCATATAAACCATAGTAGGGAGGGGTGCTCTTATCACCCTGCCTACCATGGTTTACTGAGTCGTTAATTGAATATATAGGCTACCAGAGTGGCCCGGGGTCACTTGTCCAGCCGGGCCAAGAACATTAAAAAAATTAAAAATAAATAAATTATTTTTAAATTTTATTTTTCATTTTGAATTTGGTGAAGAATTTCGATGTGACCCTGAGGCAAAAGTTGTTCAGTTTATTTTTCTGCATAACATTGTTTTTTTTTGTTGAATTTTTTTTTTTTTTTTGCTGGGACCCGCGAACGAAAGTTGTACAACTTTCACGAACGTAGTTACTACAACTTTCATGCAGACCGTGAGGGCTTCGCGGCAACGAAAAAGAGGGAGCATTTTTTTTTTTTTTTTTTTTTTTTTTGTTTCCCTTGTGCGTGTGGGAGGTCCTTGAAAGTGGGGCAAACCGTGCCAGAAAACCGTCCACCCTGAACTGGCGCCCATAAAGAGTCGTGGCGGGTCCAGGAAGAGCACCAAAGAACTCAGCTATGTGGGATCCAATTTCTCCTTTTCACCCCGCCAGGGTCGCTGACATCTTCGTAGTACTTTTTTTTTTTTTTTTTTTTTTTTTTTTTCGTAGTACTTTTTCACCACTAGTGGTGGGATCAGACCCTAAGGTGCGTTGGCCTTTGCAGCACCCACCACTACCTTTCTCATATATGGGTATTTTTTTTATTATTATTTTTTTAAATGGAGACCCGTCAGGTCGCCCTCATTCCGGAACCCCTTGACCGAAGCCAAGGGGTGCGTTCATCAACGGCTGGAGACTGCAAAGACAGGCCCCCCGCCCAGTATTCGCGCTCAGGAATGGAGGCCTCCGCTCATCATCCAGGTTGAGTGAGTCGCCTGTATTCGCAGATACAGGAAAGTGTACGACCTACAGAACAGATCCTGTTCAAGTACAGTCGTCATATGTGGGTATATGTGGGGCCGCGGGCCTCAAATTCACCGTCTATACTATTTTTCAGGAGGAGGCTAGTAGATGCCCGCGGCCGACATATGGGAAAGGTAAACAGGAAAAAAGAAAAAGAGGAAAAACGGTCAAAAAAAGAAAAAGGGAAAAAAAAGGCCAGAAAGGGAAAAGATCGTCCTTGCGCAAATCGCCAGAAGATGGTCCAACTTTTCTGATCGACAGAGGCCATTTTTTTGGGTGACGTCATCATCGTTCCACGTGGCAAAATGCAACGGGCTCTAGTGATGCCACGTGGCGGGACGTTTTGCAACTACTGCGAAGGTTCAGTGAATTGTCACGTGGTGGCAATTCCAGCCTCTCTCTCTTCGTCAGCTTCCACTCGCCACGTGGAAGTGAAGGGGACAATTACGCAGTCGCAGTCCCGATGGGCATTGCGACAAAATCCGTCGGTCGCAGCAGGAGGATGGCATCCCGACGCGATCATCTCAGAGAACACGTGGCGGCCGCAGCGGAGCTGGAGAGCGACGGGACTGAAGGAGGGGGAGGGGTCTCGATCGGCCTGGTCGCGACGCACGAGCTGCTTGATTAACTCTCGAGCATCGGGATCCGGCGGTGGTCCCGTGCCGTCGCGATCGAGATTACCAACCACCACCACCTCCTCCTCCTCCTCTCAAAATCCTATCTTCTTCTTCTCGTTCATCGGTGAAAAATCCCGGGCAAAAGCCCACGTTAGCTGTGAAGGGCTGGTCGGCGACCATCACGATAATCGTCATCTTCATCATTCTTCTCATCCGCGTCAGCGGCGACCGGTCGTCGCCGGCGGGACGTCGGTCCTTGCCGCTGGGGCGGCGGCCGTCTCTGCCGGACTGGTCGTCGGAGGTGTCATAGCTGTCGTGGCGATGACAGCTATGTCTTCGTCCTCCTCCTCCTCTTCTTCCACCTCCCCCACCTCCTCCTCCTCCTCTTCGGCTGATATCCCGACGGCAAACAAGCGCCAAGAAGCCATAGCCGCCACGCGGAGAGGAATGAAAAAGTTCATCGACGGTGACGTGGGGGCCTCGTTGGCCGACTTCGATCTAGCCCTCCAATTAGACCCCTCTCAAAGGCCCTATTTATGGCAGAGGGGTCTTTCGCTCTACTACCTCGACCAATTTGAGGAGGCGGCCAGGCAGTTTCGAGAAGATGTTGCCGTCAACCCAAATGACACCGAGGAGGCGATCTGGTGTTTTCTCGCGGAGGCACGGATACACGGTCCAGACGAAGCGCGCCGAGCTTTCCTGCAGGTGGGTCGCGACTCCCGACCGATAATGAGGGCAGCGCACGACTTGTTCAAGAATGGTGGTTCCGTCGATGACCTGCTGGCAGCGGCAGGAATCAAGGAGTTAGGAGGAGGAGGAGGAGGAGGAGGAGGAAGGGGAGGAGGGAATGGTGGGCATGACCAGTTTTACGCCTTGCTTTACACGGGTCTGTTCCACGAGTCGCAGGGGGAGGAGCTGCGCGCCAAAGAGGCTATGATTGCAGCGGTTAAAACGATGTACGGACAGATCTCCGGCGATTATATGGCGAAACTGGCCCAGGTTCATTGTCAATGCCGGGGCTGGGTTGTCTCTTAAAGGAGGGAGGGAGGGAGGAGAGAATCTCTGTCAAGGGAGGAGGAGAAGAGAGATAGGAGAAGAGAGAGGGAGGCAATTTAGCGAGGAGAGGGACAACAGCGATGAACACACACCCAGGTTCATTGCCAATTGCGGGAGGGAGGGAGGGACGGAGGGAGGGTTGAGTCTTAAGAGAGGGAGGGTTGAGTCTTAAGAGAGGGAGAGAGGGAGGGAGGGAGGGAGGGAGGGAGGGAGGAGAGTATCTCTTTGAAGGGAGGAAGTGAAGAAAGGTAGGAGAAGAGAGAGGGAGGAAAATTAGCGAGGAGAGGGACAACGGCGATGAACAGAGAGAGAGAGAGAGAGAGAGAGAGAGAGAGAGAGAGAGAGAGAGAGAGAGAGAGAGAGAGATGAAAACACACTGTGGGGGAGGTCCCACTAGCAACGAGGATTGGATTGAAAACTTGAATTTGGACGTGTTTGTGGAGAGGTGCAGAACATCGCTATTGATATGCTTTTCTGTATCTCTACGTAAAACGCATCCAGATTCAGGCGCTTAATCCAATCTTCTTTGCTAGTGGGATCTCGCCTCGTTTCTCCATTCTTTTCCTTTTTCTTTTTTTTTTCCCCAACAGTTCGGTGAAGAGTTTCCACTTGAAAAAGAAGAAAAATAAAAATTAAAATTAAAAAAAGAGAGTTTCTACTTGCATGGACGCCCCCCCTCTCTAGGATTTTTTTATTATTTTTTTTCCCCACAAACATAGAATCTGGGTATTCTAGGATTTTTTTTTCTTTTTTTTTTGTCCAAGGTGCTTTTTTTTTTTATTATAATGAAACAATCAAAAATACTATTTTGCTTGAATCCGTACGTAGGATGGAGGATCTTTTTAGTAGCTCGACGATGATTTTTTTTTTTTTTTTTTTTGAGTAAGAAAATCATATTATACATGTTCCGCGTGTAGCTGCATTCATGCACAAGTGGATTTAGGGCATTACTCACACTAAGACTTTTTTTATTTGTTTCTGGATGTAATTGCGGTCAGATACATCCAGATCTGGTCGTAAAATGCGGTCAGATACAGATTTAAGATAGTGCTAGTGTGAATATGCGCTTGCCAGATACATCCCTGTGACGAAAACCAAATTTCTATTTTCTCTGGAGGCGACATTGTTTACCCTCAAAAAAAAAAAAAAAAAAAAAAAAAACGTGAGTGCCCTCGGTAGAGGGGATTTTGAAGGCCCGCCCTCCAATGGTATCTAATCCCCCTTCCCCCCCCCCCCCCCCCCCCCAAAAAAAAAAAAAAAAAAAAAAAAAAAAAGCCCCTTCCTTCGCGTAACGGCGGCAAACGGAGAGTAACGGAGAATGACGGGGAACCATCCAGCTGGAAACCGAAAATCCGGCTGAGAAATTCCAGTGGCTCCCTCTTCTTCCGTGTAGTCATATTCTCTCCCTTCCTCGTTGCTCCTCCTCCTCCTCCTCCTCCTTCGTCCTCCTCCTCCTCCTCCTTCGTCCTCCTCCTCTTGCGCCAAGTACTTCCCCCTCTGCTCTCCTCCTCCTCCTCCTCCTCTACCCCCCACTTACTCCACGCTAATTAAGTACCCTTCTCTGTATCGCTCCAATTTTAACGGATGTCCCGAAGGGCCTTCTTCCCCCGTCTTCACCCAAAAAAAAAAAAAAAAAAAAAAAAAAAACCAAAGAAAAAACCCTCTGAACTACCCCTCGGGGCTCGTGTACACGTGTGGATGGGAGCGTTTTATTTATTTTTTCTTTTCTTTTTTCTACCGTACTTTTCTCGTCCTCGCCCTGCTGGTCCTCCTAACGATTCTGCAGAGAAGTGCAGAAAATCGCGATCCATCGGCTTTTCTGCATATCTGAACGAAAAGCGTCCAGATTCAGGCGCTAAATCCAATCCGTTTTGCGAATTTGGACCTGCAGCCCGAGATGAGCAAAAGTATGGACACGGATTAATTAATATCCACCTAAAGAAGAGGGAGGGGGACGGGGGAGGGGGGGGGGGAAGCAAACTAGTCCCTAATAATTAAAAAAGAGAGAGGGAAAACAAGCCCCTAATAAATCGCACGATCAAGAACCCCTCGCG